AACAGGTGATTGTGCACTAGGAAATGCTCAAGAACTACTAAGATAAACCATACATGTATGAAATCACATCCATTTGATGCTGTGATTATGCACAAATATCAAAAAATTGTTTATAACTGCAGAAAAAAATACTAATCATGCAAAGCAGCACTATAATTCTTATCCAAATCGCATCCAAAGAAGAAAAAACAGCGAAAAACTTGTTGTGGCTAACGAAAATAAAGGCTCCCCGTTCTTGTTCATAAAGTATTGTTTCTCAGCTGTACACATACGTTTCAGTCCTTGCAAGAAAAAAAAGCACATACTCATATTACAAGGCCTTAGAAAACTTACTGAAAAACACACAAAACAATATTAATCTCTGAAGTTATTACCATTACTGCCTTGTTGTAAAATTGATTATTTGCACGGCTGTGTGTCGCTAGGAAACAAAGCCACTTTTCTGCTTTTTGCAAAGCCAAACTTGTCCGCTGCGGGAACCCTGGGTGCACGCCTGATCGCTAGTACACTGGTCCCCGCAGTGGAAAACTTTGCGCTGTCCTAGCGACCCACACCCGATGTGCACGAGGTAAGCAAACCAGCCCTTTTGGCGTTTCGGCTGGGACCGTATGCTGAATGTTGGGGAGGGGATGGGGTCCCCAACGGTCGACGGTTTACTTCAACTCGGTTGGTACGATAGGAGAGTACTGACGCAAGTGGTGCAGCTGGTCCAGCAGCTCCGCCAGAAGGGCTGGTTTGCTCACCCCAGGACTAAGCCTTGGAGAGGGGACGGACCCGTCCTCTCTTTAAGGCTTAGTTCTGAGGTAAGCACCAAATTGTGGCGGTTCTAAGGACCGAGTTGAAGTGGTCCGTCCACCGTCGGGGACTCCATCCCCTCCCCAACATTCAGCATACGGTCCCAGCCGAAGCGCCAAAAGGGCTGGTTTGCTTACGTCGTGTCACTACTCCTTTAAAGTATGAACTCGTCAAGCCAAATTTCCAAAAAAAAGGAAAATTACTACGAGAAAAATCTATGTATGATTATAAAAGCACCAAACAGAAATCTGGATTTCAGAATCCAGTTTGTCAAGTCACAAGCTCGATTCCACCTGTCATTGGCAACAGTATTCAAAACAACAAATGTTATAGTAGGGGTCAACGAGTTGCTACCTTTTGCCAGCGAGGCTGTCAGCAATTTTTGGAGCGCGTAGGAAACTCCATTAATGTTCACTTCAGCTTGCTTCTTTTATTTTCCGGACTTGGACTCCTTGGTTCAGTTTTGATGACAACATTTGTTCGTTTATTGTTTTCACCGCTCAGCTCCCTATTTACAGACTGTAACATGTGATATTATAAGCAACGAAAAGTGGTTTTCATGTGAGCTTTTCGATTTAGCTTTTAATTAATTCGCAGCAAGATTCAAAATACACGAAGTGGTTTAACTAAAAATTTTAGCTATACACTTTTTCGCGGCAGTTCATTCAGCGCATCTTCGCCCTGCACATTTAAAATTAGAAATTTCTCAGAAGTTCCTAAAGAGCAAAAGTGTAAGGATTAAGAAAAAACCCTCTAGCTGACCGTACTCGTTCTCTGCTGTCTCGCGGCAACTCCATGGGAACGATTCTCCTGATCAACTGCTTCACGACGTTTACGCTTCATGAATTCAACAGATGAACGTGAAAAGATACGTTCGTCATCTTGAAAGTTTCTCTTCAATGATGCTGGATCTGTCTGCGATGGCAAAATTGAAAACGCAGCTCGATTCCATCCTGGAATATGAACTTTACGGTGCACATGCTTTTTTGTCGGGAAGACAATAGAATTA